ATTTTTTTTGCCAAAATCCGGTCGGAATTTTTTGCTCCTGGGGGTCCGGCGTTCCCAGAACGCCGGACCCCCTACATGTATTTGGTTTATGGTTGAGACCAGATACAAAAAAAAAAAAAAAAAAAAAAAAAGTATCTGGTCTCAACCATAGACCAGATACATGTAGTGGGTCGGACCCCCAGGAGCAAAAAATTCCGACCGGATTTTGGCAAAAAAAAACAGTTTTAATTTCGTTCAAAAAATATAATATGTCCGTTTTGACGAAATGACTGTTATATGCTGATGATTTAGCCTGGGCATTGACCTGTCTTATGGTACAGGCCTTTCTTGGACATTCGATTCAGGACTTGGACTAGTTCAGCTTGATCCTACGAGGATCATCTTCTATTATCACTGATAACATGTCAGTTACCGACTCGTCGGCTTGCGATTCAACTCCAATCCACTCTTGTCACTCAACCTAAAGGCTTTAGCCCTGGTCTTTGAACTGTTTCATTGTGTTTTCACCCGAACTTTATTGAATGGTCATTTAACAAAAGTACTGAGTATTTATTTTGGGGACTTGCAGTAGAGTGAGACTTGTATGGCTAAAGCAAGGGGTATGAGCATAGAGAATGGTTGAAGTTGACCCCGTGTAGTGCGTGGACTTTTGTTGGATCTTTGATGTGATTGCAGGTATAGTTGTGATTCGGATTCTGGATGTGACTGTCCGCGATTACATACATATATGGCTGAGAGGAGTCCCACTGTGACTGTGAGAAGTGATCGTCCTATATAACTAAGTTTTATGTGTATATATATGTCTCGAGTGTTTCATGCGGCCTACTGGGACCGCGCGTAAGGGTTAAACAGATTATGGGTTTGAGAAAAAAAGGGAGATCCCCTTTTATCCTTTGCTTCTTAGAAATTTTTATTGTCGGACCTTGGTCCTGCGCCGGGATTCCAGGTCCTTGTCCAGGACATCCCAAACCCTAGAGTCTGCAGGGAAGGAATCTGCCCCCGTGCAGAGCCTATTTGCCCCACTGTGTGCAGAGTGCAGAAGAGGGTGTGTGGTCTTCAACTGCGCTTGGCGGTTGTCCAGCGTCGAGAGATTAACCCTCAAGGCGCGTGTCAGCCGACACTTGAGTGTCGAACGCGACCCCCACGATTAGCGAGGACCACCTGAGTATCGGTACTACATAGTACGTCATCATTGCGACCGCTTGAGTATGCTTGCATCGCGAACTGATATGAGTTAGCCCTGCGTCCGCGCGGTTTTATACTAAGTCTCGTGCGCGACGCCTATCCGATTTCCGCATCGAAGAGTTATGGGATGGTCACCAAGGGGCTACGAGCGTTGTCGCGTTGTTTGTGTCGCGTTGTTCGTGTTGTGTCGTTTTGTGCGTTCGTATGTGTGTGTGTTTTCTTTTTTTGGTTGTTAGAGTGGTGTGCGCGTGGTGAGTGGGATGCGTCATAGTCGACCGACGACGGGCCGCGCTTAGGACCTCAGCCCCCCAAGATGTCGGTTCGTTTGCGGGTCCGATAGAGGCGTATTACCGCGTGTACCCCCTATGCTACAGCGAACGAGAAACGCCCTCGTCTGGTCCAGCTCTGCGATTGCAACTGATTAGCTTTCGTACTGTGGACAGGTAGCTCGGCGGGGATACGCCCACCGAAGGGAGGTGACAGCTCTCGTAAGGTGGAGGTAAGTTGTCCCTCGCGTAGGCCCTATCCTGTCGTAGGGGCTCGCGAGAGGGATGGCTGGTGCACTCGGCCGGAGCGGGTTGCGGAAGCTCCATTTGTATGTTCATGATGAGGTTGGTCCAACTCCTGCGTGATGCGGCCGAGGGGGTCCCACGCTGCCACGTGCGGTGTCGGACCGATGCGCTCGACAACGTCAATTAGGAATGCAAGTTTTTCATTCCTCTAATAGAATGGTACATTACACCAGGCAAATCTTTGACCCATACATTAACAGCTCGTGGTTGTGCCACAAGAGGGCAGGAAGAAAGCCGTTGGCATAAGGCAATGGCCAGAACGGGGGGGGGGGGGGGGGGGGGGAAAAAAAAAAAAAAAAATTGTGGGTGTCCGATCTGGGATGCCGCCAGGTATCAACCCCAACAATGAGCAGGGCGGGGGGGGGGGGGGGGGCGGGGGGGGAAATAGAAAAAACAAAACATTTTGGGTCACCAACCGGATGGACAGTATTCGGATCATCCCGATGATGACACTATCATACTTCGGCATTGAGGGGAACCTGAGTGGGCGGAGAAAAAAATGCATGCAAAACAGCGGTTAAGGAAGGGATATTCCTCTCACAGGAACAAAGGGAGTGTTGGGAGTGCATGTTGAGTGGCTAAGTCGTGAATGAGGCAACGGCTCAGCTACCCCCCTCCTTCAACAAGTTAGCAGGGTACTCTATTTTCGAGGAGGGTCTACGGGATGATGAAATACATCTTTGCGACTAACCATCATACATGAATGATTAGCTAGCCCAGATCCTGTAAAAGCAGGGTTTCGTAGGGCGTAACCTAGGACCCCGACGTATGGGTCATGTCAGTATGTTCCCATTACAGGAACAACAATGGACCTAAGGCCATCAAAATATGTCGCTGGTCCTATAAATCACGTACGACATCCAACACGCCTATCCGATATCCCAACGGATTGTCCCACCATGAGAAAGAGTGGCGCTTAGGTTTTGTTGCTCAATATAAGATTGGGATGAATAACACTGGCGAACTATGAATCATCTCATCAAGTCAAACTCACTCGAGGTTGACATTCATCGATTTGACCTTAGCCGATTGGTGTCATGTTGGTTTTGGTCTATCGACCTAATCGTCTTAGATTATTAAACAATTTTCAAAGTTGTGTAGCTAAGGGACTAGGTTTGCTCGTGGGTTTCACGTTTTGTTGAGGCCGTCCTAGGCGACTGGAACTCACTTTGTACTTAGGAGATTAGCGCCCTAAGGAACGAACGATGTCAGGGTTTGGACGACGGTTTAACCACGAGTACCTATACTGCAGCAAATAAGCAAATGCCCTCGGCTGATTTGCAATTGCATGTAAAAGCTCTTGTACGTGGGTCAGTAGCTCAGTAGGTATACGCCCCTAAGGGTGGTGACAACCCCTTAGGGAATGAAAGTTGTGCCTTGCAGGAACCTGTCTTGTCGTAGGGGATAGCGAGAGGCACGGTCGGCGCACCCAGCTAGATGGTAAGGTAACAACAGCATCCGCGTCCGTCTCGACGGTTCGTGAGACTACTTATGCCTTGTCTAAGTTGTCTTTTGTTTTTTTTTTCACTCCTGCGGGACTTGGTCGGGAGGGCTCTCGCCCTTTTGCGAAAAAGGGGGGAGCTGATATGTTCGACAATGGGGCGTTGAGATATTGTCAAAACATAGAGAGGAGGGTGAAGAAAATGGTAGTTGCAACCTTGCTCCGCTGCTACAGCGTGCTGAGAAGTGATCCTATTGTTAAGGTGGGGGATTGGAGACCTTTGTGCAATCCATCTCTGTCCGGCGAAGAAGGGAAGAGGGAAAGATTAGGAAGGTGCGATTGACAAGAGCAAAAGACACTCTCAAAGAGTTTTACTCATGCAACTGACCAGAGTAGAAGATACCCTCATACAATTTTACTTATTGGTTGTGTGTCCGAAAATCGATTCAACGCGGGTTTCGCGTTGAAAAATTGAACGCGCGTTGAATTCACGTTCAATCCCCGTTCAAATGCGCGTTGGACGCGAATGAACGGTGTCCGCGAACCGCGTTTCCGCGCGTTTGGGGGGGGGTAGGGGTTTTTTGAAAGTGTGGGGTGGTAGTGTCCGCTGTCGGGTACCGCCCCATGCACTTTTTTTTTTTTTTTTTTTTTTGGAAAAAAAAAAAAAATCGCGAACCCATTTGCGTCCTGCAGGGAGTTCGCGGGGTGCCTGCTGCGGTGGTGACGCAGGGGAAACGGTCCGAACGGGTACAAAAACGGTACTCGCGTTCAGCCACACTTCATTTGCCGCGCGAGCCATACCGCTCCAACGCGACAAACGCCGTCAAACGGGTGTCCCCTGCGTCGAACGCTGCGGACGA